TCAGAGAGAAACGAACCTGGCAGAGGACTAGATATGTTCCATAAGATTGGACGGTCAGACCCAAAGCCTCGCACATGTTGGAACCCAAAAGGTTAAATTTTGACTATATTTTATACTATCTTATTTATGAACAGGCTAACCAGGCACGGGTTCCATAAGATTGGATGGCCTGGGTATAGCTTATCATAAGTTGAAGAGAGTATAACTAAGAGTAAAACTGAAGGTAACCTGGGCCGACTGAGCATTGTTTCTAAGATGAATGGCTCAGTCCTACGCCCCCTTAAAGACTAAGTCAGAGAGATATTTATAATTTGGGTATTAAACAGTTCAGGGAGACTAAGCATTGCTTCTAAGATGAACGGCTAAGTCACATGCCCTAAAGAAGAGAGGAGTAGTTGTGCAACCTGTTCGTATATACTCAATGGCTGAGTCAGGTAGGTTCCATAAGATTGGACGGCTTGACTTTATGCCCTATGTAAGCTGGGTATAAAGGAATAAAGCATCGAGAGATTACGAACTATTGTCTGTCAAGTCGGCTTGGGGATGGTGAGAGTACTTACCTTTGTGCTTTGGCCTGCATGAGACTGAGTGAGGCTACTACTTGGTTTGAGTGTCAGGTTGACCGGTAGTTATTTTAGAGGCTCGCCACGTGCTAGAGCGATAGGAGTTAGTTCAATTTCTGCATTTTCTTAGCTAACTTTATTTTACTTAGATTCATCCTTGCATTTTCTGAGATTCTTATACTTCACTTTGTATAAATTTTGGTAATTTACTTTCTCTACGGGAAGCGCTGCCGAAATTTCTGCAAAATCCACGGAGTTAGTCAATTCTTGACTTTTCAAAGTTCAGCTTGTCTAAAGTTCATATATGGCTCAGTAAAAATCAGGAAAGTCTCCCTTTCTAAAGGGAGTGCTGCCCAAATTTTTGCTAATTCAGAAATCTAGATAAAAATTGAACTTTGGAAAGTCAAGGACTATTTCTGGTTTCATATTCAGGCTGATACAAATTTTGGAAAGACATTTTTCCTACGGGAAACGTTGCCGAAATTTTCTTAGTTTAAAGGAGATAGATTATATTTTGATAGGTGGCGATTCAGGCGATCCACCCTGAATAGGGGAGATTCTGCAGTTGGTCTACCTTTGCTTAGACACTGGTTTAGAGGTAGGCTTAGGCTTAGCTTATAGGGAGATATTGAGTAAGAATGTGTTATGGAGTTGTATTCTTCATGCACTTATGATTTAACCTGGGGATTGACCTGTCTTGTGTTACAGGTCATCTTAACCGTTTGATTCAAGATTTGGACTAGTTTCAACTTGATTCTACGAGGATCATCTTCTGTTATCACTGATAACAGGTCGGTTGCCGATTCGTCGGTTTACGATTCAACTCCAATTCACTCCTTCCACTCAACCTAAAGGCTTTAGCCTTGTGATTGAACTGTTTTGTTGTGTTTTCACCCGGACTTTATTGAATAGTCATCCAACAAAAAAACTGAGTATTTATTTAAGAGTTGCACGAATGAGGCTTGTATGGCTAAAGCGAGGGGTATGAGTGCAAGAAATGGTTGAAGTTGACCCTGTGTAGTGCGTGAACGTCTAGATGAATCTTTTATGTGATTGCAGGTATGGTTGTGGTTCGGCTTCAGAATGTGACTGCCTGCGATTACATACATATATGGCTAAGAGGAGCCTCACTGTGACTGTGAGAAGTGATCGTCCTATATAATCGACCCTTATATACTTATAAGCGCCCTGAGTATTTGAGAGACCTACTATAATTGAACATATTAAGGGTTAGCCAGATTGTGTCTTGAGAGAAAATGAGGATTCCCTTTTTACCCTTGTTTTTTAGAGCTGTATGGTTGGACGTTGTAGTCCGTGGCACCCGTCAAAGTCAAACCCCTTGACTTTTGATCATGTCTGGAGTAGGACTTACCTCCAGGGCCGCAAGAAACGACAGCCACCACAGGTATGGACCTGTGTACCACCCGCTCTGCATAAGGTGCAGAAGAGGGTGTGTGGTGTTCAACCGCGCATGGCGGTTGTCCAACGTCGAGAGATTAACCCTCAAGGCGCGTGTCAGCCGACACTTGAGTGTCGAATGCGACCTTCGAGATTAACGGGGGCCGCACGATTATGGGCACGACATAGTACGCCATCATTGCGACTGCTTGCGTACGTTTGCATTGCGAGTAGATATGAGTTAGTCCTGCGCCCGCGCGGTTTTATACAGAGTCTCGCGAGCGGCGCCTATCCGATTTCCGAGTCGGAAAGTTATGGGATGGTTACCGAGGGGCTAGGAGCGTTGTCGCATTGTTTGTGTTGTGTCGTTTCGTGTGTGTGTGTGTGTTTTATCTTTTTGTTCGTAGAGTGGTGTGCGCGTGGTGTGTGGGATGCGTCCTAGTCGACCGACGTCGAGCCGAGCCTGGGACTTCAGCCCCCCAAGATGTCGGTTTGCTTGCGGGTCCGATAGGCGTACTACCACGCGTACCCCCTATGCTACAGCGAACGAGAAACGCCCTCGGTTGGTCCACCTGTGCGATTGCAACCGAGTAGCTTTCGTACTGCGGACTGGTATCTCGGCGGGGATACGCCCACCGAAGGGAGGTAACAGCTCCCGTAAGGTGGAGGTAAGTTGTGCCTCGCGTAGGCCCTATCCTGCCGTAGGGGCTCGCGAGAGGTATGGCTGGCGCACTCGGCCGGAGCGGCCTAAGGAAGCTCCACTTGTGTGTTCGCGATGAGGTTGGTGCAACTTCTGAGTGACGCGGTCGAGAGGGTCCCGCGCTGCCACGTGCGGTGCCGGACCGATGCGCCCGACACGTTACAGGAAGTAGTTCGTGTCATTGTCACAACACCGCCCATGCACATTATAGGAAGTAGTTCGTCACAACACCGCCCATGCACGTAACGGGCAGTAGTTCGTCACAACACCGCCCATGCGTGTTACAGGAACTTCAGGAAGCAGTTCGTCACAACACCGCCCATGCACGGAGAATAGAAAAGCAAGCCACCCAAAGAATCAGCCACTCAATTACCTGACCAGTCCCTGTCTGCAAAGACGTGTGGAAGAATACAGTCTACTTATATCCATGGTGTTGCCGCTTGAAGTCAGATGTGAAGGTGGCGGGTCCCTTCATACCCCCAGCCTCTGCTGATGTATGTGGGCGTTTGTTGTTGATGAACCAAAACCATATGATGGGCTGGATCATCCCAATCGCCCGTGCCGATTAATATCCCCGCTGGAAGCACAGGAGCAACAGTCTCCGCTGGCTTCGGCAAAACTGTTGACGGCCCACTCGCAATAGAGAATATCGTTGATGTTATTAATAGTGGCTTTGATGCTTGATTGCTAGCCCCCCCAAATTTCATTAGATGGCGCCTCAATGCACAGTGAAGCAACTGTTCTTATGGAAACAACTCCCCACTGGTTTGATCTTTCCATGGTGTCCATAGGAGCATCCGTCACCGTTCTGAACGTCAATCAGTGCCGATCCCGTGAACGTGACCGGCACCTGTCACTTGAACGTGATCGGCTGGAACGTGACCGGCCGTTCATTTGGTGTTTTTTTTGGGAACGGGACGACCACTAAAGAGTGGTGGTGTTTTCTCCCCCAGGTACATTCGGCTCAAGCCCCACAGCGTGGTGACATTGAAAAAAAAATAAATTCGAAATGACCTAGAAAATAGCAAACCAAAATGCTTATTTTGGTTGGTTGATTTTTTTTTTCGTTTTTAATTAAAAAAAAATTGTTCGTGAAATTTTTTTTTTGAAAAAGTTATAGGGAGTTACCCTTCGATGTCACCCACCCTCCTATAAAAAAGAAAACATACCCCCCCAGCCAAAAAATAAAAATAAAAAAATATACCGCTCTCGTTCCATTCACTCATGAGAGTATCCATCTGTCTCTTATCAGGAAGAGCAGCAAGCTAAAAATAACACTCTTCTTCCAGATCCCCAACCGCCTCCAACAACTCCAGCATGGCAGCTTTCACCCAGCCTACCTGTGAGATTGTCCCCCCATAGATCTCAAACCGAGCCAGGTCTGACGAGAAGAGAGCAGCCTCCAACTTCTTCGAGCGTCGCCAACCAGCATTGAGCATTCAAGACCAGCGGGGAACAACCACCATTTCAGGTCCTTCCATCGCCCACAGCCCCTTATAGTCTTCAGTCATTTACTTACCTATGTAGTCTTGAGACTTTCACCATCTCCTGCTTCAAAGTCACCGTTACTTCTACACAAGGGCGGAGTCCATTCGTTGACCACGGGATGCCTCCATCCCGCTGTATTTGCCGCCTCCTGTTGCCTATTATGCTTCTCTCCCTCTGATGCTGTTCAGAAGGAGGCCTGTTGTATGCTAACCACAGGATGCCGCCATCCTGCCCTTCTCTTCTAGTCACCTCACCGGTCAAACGGCCTTGTTTGACCTCACCGGTCAAACCGACCGCTGCCATCTCCCTTGTTTGACCTACCTCACAGAGCTATGGCTTCAACACCTTTGGTCCTCCTCGATCATGTCGAAGAATCGGGTCCCAACACCGCTCACTGAACGATGGGGTCAACACTTTTCGTCCTCCTCGATCATGCCGAAGAATCGGGTCCCAACACCGCCGGGCCTGCCGTGCGGTTCGCTCCCCGCGCGCTCCACCCACTTGTTTTTTCGAGTCCCTCCCTCACTGCCTCCGGCTCTGGAATTCTACTGGGTTCCTCTCTGTTGCCCTGGGTCACACGATGGGCCATTGGCCTCCGGCTGCCTACATTGTTTTCTCTCGAGTGAGTACGCCCTGGGCTGAGGTCCCACTAGCAAAAAGGATAGGATCGAGCTCGTGAATCTGGATGTGTTTTATGCAGAGATGCAGAAAAGCAGTTCAATCTCGATTTCGTGCACCTGTTTACAAACACGTCCAGATTCAGGTATTCGATCCGATCCTCTTTGCTAGTGGGACACGCCCCTGAAAGGCGGCAATTGTGCTCGCTCAGGGCGTACTCACACTACCACTAATCTTAAATGTACCTGACCGCATTAAGAGCCAGACTTATATGCATCTGGCCGCAATTCTGTCCAGAAATAAGTTAAAAAGAGCTAGTGTGAGTTGGCTCTCAGACGATCCCCCATGGCGACAAGCTGCAGTGGTGAGAGGGGAGCTGAGGGCTGCGGCTGCAGCAGAGCGCCGCAGTATGCTCCCCTCGGCTCAGTGGTTGCTGGTGCGAGGGATGCTGAGGGCTGCGGCGCCAGCGGAGCGCCGCACTCCGCTGCGCTGCTCGCAGTTGTCACTGGTGAGATGGAAGCTGAGGGCTGCGGCGCCAGCGGAGCGCCCCCCTCCACTGCGCTCGTCGCAGTTGGGTTGGCGGTGTTGCCTGCTCCGAGATCCGTCACGGCGAGAATGAGCGTTGGATGCTCCGCTCTGCTCCGCCCGCTGTGAGGGCTGACGCCGGAGATTGGCGCCAAAGGGCTGATGAGATGGAAGCTGAGGGCTGCGGTGCCAGCGGAGCGCCGCACTCCACTGCGCTCGTCGCAGTGGTTGGCGGTGTTGCCTGCTCCGTGATCCGTCACGGCCAGAATGAGCGGGGGATGATGCGGGCTGCTCCGCTCTGCTCGCCCGGTCTGAGGGTTCATGCCGGAGTTTGGCGCCAAAGGGCTTGTGAGATGGAAGCTGAGGGCTGCTGCGCCAGCGCAGCGCCGCACTCCACTGCGCTCGTCGCAGCGGTTGGCGGTGCTGCTGCCTGCTCCGAGATCCGTCACGGCGCGAATGAGCGGGGAATGCTGCACGCTGCCGCGCGCACCTCCGCTCCTTGCGAGATCTCACGCCTTGAATATTTGGCGCCAAGCCGAGGGCGACAACATCTTCAGTTTTTTCAGGAAGAGGCGGGGAAAACAAAAAAAAAGAGGCGGGAAGCACATCTCTTCAGGAGGCGGGAAGCACTTCCGTCCCTCTGCAACCAACCATATGTAATCCCGCGGGATTTGGTTCGAATGCAATGTACGTGTACACCATTTGTATATATATGATCTAGCGTGAGAGGAAACGAATGTGTTAAGGAGACTCGTAGAGAGCGAGCACCTCCCTCTCCTGGGTGATTAGAGCTCAGTTCTCGTTTGTCTTCGGCCACGAAAAGCCTCCCCCTTTCTCACTCCCTTCACTTCCCCTCACCGCATTCTTGTCCTACCGGTCGCTGCTGCTGCTGCTGCAGACGCGACGGCCTACCGGTAATCCATTCATCCATTCGCGCACGAAGCGGATCATCAGCAGTCACCTCCTCTATCTCCCATCACCACTGTCATGGCGCAATCAAGCTCGGCGGCTATGGCTGCCACAGCCATCGCTATGCTTCTGTCGTGGCAACTGCTTTGCCCGTCGGCGGCCATGGCGTACAACATGGGCGGAGCGCGGGATACCGACACAGCAGAGGTCAGCAGTGAGAGTACTAGTGACGTCGCGGCTGAGAAGACGACAGCCGCCGACAAGCAGGGTACCGCTGGTGCTTGCCCTGTGCAATTCACGCCACAGGTGTTCTCTGCCGTCCGCCAGCTGTGTCATTTCGGCGGAGACGAGTTATGCTGCGAAGCTATTCAAGACGTGGCAATGACTGCAGTGGCGTACAGCACGAAGTGCTTGCCGTCTTTGTTGGGCGCAATTAAGACCTACACCGAGGTCACCTCAGCGGTGGTTTCCGCATGCCTGAGCGTGCAAGGCAGGAGCACTCTCGAGACGCTCGGTACGTTCGAGGCTCTCAACACTCTCAAATTCTACGAAATGACGGGAGACGAGCTTCAAGAATTCGCTCCTCCGTCTTCCGCGGCGGCGCCGCTGCTCAGCCAAGGATCAGCCAATTAAAGTGTCCTGGCGATGGAGAAGAAAAGACAACCGTCGCGTTAGACGGGTAGCAGAGTAGTAATAGTAGAACCAAGAGGAGAAGGAGGAGGAGGAGGAGGAGGAGGAGGAGGGAGAGGAGTAAGATAGAACCGTTGCTATTGTCTTGCTGCAGGGTGTCGTTGTGGTTTTAGCGCCGACATTTACGCTAAGGGGAGAAAGGGAAGAGAGGAGAGTTTGGAACTAACCCCACCCCCTGAGGCTCCGGGGGGACGCGAGCCATACCAGGGCTCGAAGAGCGGGAACCAGGCCAAGAATCGCGAAGCAGTGAGCGCGGTTGTAGTTATTATATAGCTGCAGGGTGTGGTCGTGTTCTTAGTCCGACTTTCAGCCTAAGGGGGTAAGGGAATGTAGGTGCCCGACTTTCAGCCTGATGAGAGAAAGGGAATGGAGGTGATCTTGGGAGAATCGCGAAGCGGGGGAGGAGGTTGTCGCTATTGTATGGTTGCAGCGTGTGGTTGTGGTCTTAGCCCGACGTTCAGCTTGAGGGGAGACAGGGTTGGGAGGAGGTGAATTTGGGAGAATCCCGAAGCGGGGAAGGAGGTTCTAGTTATTGTATGGCTGCAGGGTATGGAGGTGATTTTGGGAGAATCGCGAAGCCCCGGAAATCGCCGGGTTTTTGTAGGGGAACGAATTTCGAATTTCGACAGCCCTTTCACCGTTTAAAGGGGTACCCGACACTGATGTGCGGACAGTGGGGCAGCGCTGCTAGCCGTTTGAGGAAAATAAACTTAGCCGTGGTCGCGATTTTGCGACCGACAGCAATTGTTTGCGGAGGAAGAGTGATGACGGAAAATTATATTATCGAAGAAAAAAGAAAATTTATAGTCTTAGCGACGCGCATGGGGGCTAAAAATAGGAGAAGAAAAAAATAGTTGGACAACTTGGACTTGATCGGTTGTCCTCAGATGGCAAAAAAACATATTTCCTGGAGAATGCGACCTGTCTAATCTACTTTGAATGGAAGCCATGAATTCATTGCTTTTGGAATTATTACCTTTTTTTGAGGGATGAATTAATTAATTGCTTTTGGAATTATTAAGTTTTTTTGAGCGATGAATTAATTAATTGTTTTTGCAATTGTTAACTTTTTTTGAGCGATAAATTAATTAATTGCTTTGGATTTTTTTATTTTTTTTAGCAATGAATTAATTAATTGCTTTTGGAATTATTAACTTTTTTTGAGCGATGAATTACTCGATTGCTTTTGGAATTATTGAGAATTTTTTTGCCGTTTCCAAATTGATTTCTTCGAGTTAACAGGTTATAAACTGAGAGTGAAAGAACTTACATTTAAGGCAATTTGAATCACAGAAGAAGAAAAAACGAAGGCTCTATTTTTCGTCTTGGGGAATGGAAATGAAAAGAAATGCCATTGGATGGTGGATTATAAATGAACCACCGCAAAAAAGAAAAGAAAAAGAAAAGAAAACGCACGGCCAATTTGCACCCACATACTCCCACAAGTTTAACGGGGAAAAATGCCGCCCGCAATGCGCAGTGCCATGCACATGCTCCGTTGCTTGAAATTTGAAATGCATGCTCCGTTGCTTGAAATTTGAAATGCAGTAATATGTTTACTAACAAATCCTTCTTTTTCTTCCATTTTTCCATGTTCCTTCTTCTTCTTCTTCTTCTTCTTCTTCCCCTTTCCCCTTCTTCTTTCAGTGTGGTTCTTCTTCTTCTTCTTCTTCTTCTTCTTCTTCTTCTTTCAGTGTGGTTCTTCTTCTTCTTCTTCTTCTTCTTCTTCTTCTTCTTCTTCTTCTTCTTCTTCTTCTTTCAGTGTGGTTCTTCTTCTTCTTCTTCTTTCAGAGTGGTTCGTCTTCTTCGTCTTCTTCTTCTTCTTCTTCTTTCAGTGCTTCTTTTTCTTCTTCTTCTTCTTCTTCTTCTTCCCCTTCTTCCCCTTCTTCTTCTTCTTCTTCTTCTCCTCCTTCTTCTTCTCCTTCTCCTTCTTCTTCTTCTTCTTCTTCTTCTTTAAGTGTGGTTCTTCTTCTTCTTCTTCTTCTTCTTCTTTAAGTGTGGTTCTTCTTCTTCTTCTTCTTCTTCTTCTTCTTCTTCTTCTTCTTCTTCTTTCAGTGTGGTTCTTCTTCTTCTTCTTTCAGAGTGGTTCGTCTTCTTCTTCTTCTTCTTCTTTCAGTGGTTCTTCTTCTTCTTCTTCTTCTTCTTCTTCTTCTACATTTCTTCTTCGTCTTCTCTCACTGTGTCAACTTCAATGGCATCAATGAATCTATGATGAATGCATACGCAAATGTCCATACACATGCTCCGTTGCTTGTTGAAATGCAGTAATGAGTGACTAATAAGTAATAACTCCTTTCTTCTTCTTTTTCTATGTTTTTCTTTTTGTATTAAAATCGAACGCAAAACTGTCACGATCAGGGTATCTCGTAAAGGGCTTGTTGTGCTTTTTTTAACGAGCTAATAATAGAACATGATGATGAGCTCAAGTTGCCATAGCAGCTCCATCGGATGGAGGAAGAATAAGGTGATTGCCCTGAGGATCAATTTCCGGTCTGTTTTTTTCTTCTTCTTATTTAAAAAAAAGGAACTCTCTACACTTTGTGTCCGTACAAACTACCGTTGATCTCCTCTCCCGACCGTTTAGTTTAACCCTATTCCCTCAACGCAAAGCACCCCCTCGTCAATCCTGTACACAACTCAGAAGATAGGTTCTATATCTTGCGGATGGGGGTGCGTTATGTTCGGGGCAAGACGGTTGTGCTGTAAAGATTCTTATGTCTCGGGATCCCAAAGAACATCGAGAACAAATTCGGCCACCCGACTAACTGTGCACTGTGCACGTATATATATATATATGAAACTCCGACGAAACAGTTTGTCACAGCCCCTCGTTTGTTGTCTTCTTCTCTCTCTTTGCCTACGGTTTACCGGGCAGTTCTGTTTGTGACGATATATATATACATATACATATTATATATATATATATATATACATATTATATATAGGTCATGTGCCGTCGTTTGGCCTGTGAAGGAGGGGCGGTGCTTGGATGTGGGACTTGTCATCTAGGATCCGTTTTTGGTGCTACTGCCTGTTGCCCCCTGTTTTGTTGTATTTGGCTGTTCCCTTCCTGTTTTCTTTGCCTCTTTGCCCTTTGGCTGTGTGCAAGTGGGTCGATATGACACACGGGGGTGAGGGCAGCCGCCGCTCAACCTACATCCACGTGGGCGGCCTTGTACGCAAGAGGTTCTGAACAGGCGGAGTTGTAAGAAAGAAAAAAAAACGAATTATTTATTTCTTGTTTTCTTCTGTTTTTTTGCCTTTGCGCTCTGATATTAATGTGACGATATATATATACGGTTTACCGGACAGTTCTATTTGACGATATATATATGCATATGTGTGTGTGTATATAATTTTTTGTATGTATATATATATTGTCACATGATATCAGACCGCCAAAGCGAAAAACAGAAACAAGAAAAACTTGTTTCATTTTTAATCTTCTTCCTTACAACTCCCCCTGTTCAGAACCTCTTTTATATATATATGTGGTTTTTAAGTCAAAGGGTAATGATTACTTCAACAGGGATTTCTTCTCCATTTTTATCTTACAGTACCTTTATTTGATTGCCATAGTCAAACCGCCTGTTCAATGTGCGTTCATACTAAATCTACTCTCGCCCCGAACGTACTGTACAAATTCCTTCAGTGTCAAATCACATAGCTACATATCTCTTGGCCTTAGCCGCCGACGACTTTCCAGGTTGACACGTATCTCCTGCGCAAATGCGTGCGTCCTGCGATTCCCGGTGTGTGCCAGTACCTCTGTGTGCGTGCGTGTGTGTGCGTGTGTGTGTGTGTGTGTGTGTGTGTGTGTGTGTGTGTGTGTGTTTGTGTGTGTGTGTGAGACAGGCCTAAGTAGGACATTGGCCCCCGGTTTCTTGGCTCGTACCTGTGCCTCCCAAAGAAAGAGACACAGGAGGGGTATCTAGCGAAACGCCCCAACTTTTAGGATTGTTTCATGGCCCTCTTCACGTGTACTATCTCGTTCCATCTCCTCCTCCATACTCTGTGTTTGTGTCTCCCATCGTTTTCAGTCCTTGATCCTACTTGTACTTACACACCCCTACTTTGTGCCTTCCTTCATGAGGAAATGAAGAGATGAGCAAACAGTCTGTATAGTGGACGTGTGTGCAGAGGCCTTTCTTTTGTGAAACACGCACCCGCGAAGATATCATGGCGTGAGTTTGAAATGGCAATTGGGGCAGAAAAGAATCCCCTGGGCTTTTTTTTCTTTTTTGTTTCCCTTGTCTGACAGACTGACATCACAGCTGTTGATTTTTTTTTATTTTTTATTTTTTTTCAAATAAAGTTTGTTTCCATTAATTTAGCAAATCGGGGCTGGGGACCCCACAATTCAACCCGGTAAACCAAGGGCCATTCAGTTCTGCCTAGTTGGAAACCGGGTCCAGCGTCCCTACTAATTACTGATCAGAAGGAAATTAACTCTTATGGCCACACTATTTCCTAGCCAACTCTGTGCTGGAAACCGGGTCCAGCGTCCCGCATACTCCTTAGAACTGAAGCGCCGCCCTCTCAGCATCTGCTGTCTGAACTAGCCTACAAACCTAGGCTGGCTCTACCATGTCTTATTAAACTTCTATGGAGCCTGTTAGGACCCAGACTGACGGTCTGGCCAGAGCCATGCTGGAATTAGTAACTTACCATGTTCATTGATGGTCCCAAGGTAACCATTGATACACCAGGTATTCCGGAACCAGAGTATTCCTTTAACACTTGGTGCAGTGTGATGGACTCTGCGGTGCCAATCTGTCCAAATAGTTCTGCGAATGCTTGCTCGGATAGCAGTTTTCAGGGCCAAAAAGTTGGGCTTCTCACACCTGAAAATTGCTGCATTATGGCTCAGCCAGAGTTCCCAACAGATGACCGCCCTGATTGTCTGGGCTAAATAGCCCAGACCTTGACTGGAACTTCTGTCTGCCGGTAATAGTCCAAATAAGATCCATTCTTCTGTCCAACTAAAGTTATTGCCAGCGATGTTTTTCCAACAGTGTTGCCA